TCCCCACTCCCCCCTCCCCCCACTCCCAGATCCGAGGCCGCCCACAGAGACGCCCTGAAGAGAGAGGAGAGAGAGAGACAAGGCTTTGAAGAACTGGACAAGAAGCTGACCACACAAGACAGACTACGCTCTGATGTTCATGTGGCGCTCCACGCTGTCTTTGAGAAACTGCGCCCCATCAAACTGCCCAAAGTCAGTGTCTTTTTGTTTGTTTTAGTAAGAGTTTTAAGGCGCTCCAAACTGTATAAGGTCGTATAAACGCGCTAAAGTCAGTTTCTGTCTCTGTCTGTCTGTCTGTCTGTCTTTCTGTGTGTGTGTGTGTGTGTGTGTGTGTGTGTGTGTGTGTGTGTGTCTGTCTGTCTGTCTACTTGAGTTGACATCTATCCCGTGCGCAGGTTGCGCAGGTTGCACACGATAAAGATCCCTTGGTGGTCTAAAATCGATAAGAGTAGGCTTCGGCCGCCACCCGGGCAAAATTCAAAATTTCCTTCCGGCTGAAAATGTTTAATGTGTCCAGCGCGCCCATATGACCGTATGTTGTTGCGAGCGCCGTAAAATACTAACCAAAAAAAGTTCTATCTCAGATGCAGCTTTCAACACCACCAAAACGCAGTCGAATGCCGTGGTCAAGGCGCACACTTTTTTTGCTGTTCAGGATCCCTGCCGGAAACAACACAATTCCTTTACGTTACTGGACTTGACCTTTCCGATGCTGCAGCGGTCATCTGGGCTCTCGTAGCCCAAGAACATGCAGCTGTTGAAGGAGGTGGGGATGGGGAGGGGGAGGGGGTGGGGATCGTTTGATATCAGTGGAGCAGATTAGCGAGAACATAGCAGTCGTACATGCGTCCTATGTCCATGACATGTGCACCTGTGGGTACAGGTCTGCCGTGCCAAGGCAGAGCGACGTATCTGCACTTTTTATGATTTTGAATTATGTCGCGCCGCCATTGCAAATATGGGCATGGTCCTTCAGTTACGTCTGTTTGCCACAGTGAAATCTCCTATTTGTAGTGCAGATACGTCTTCCTGCCTTGACACAAGATGCAGAACGTTTAGGCGTCCCTTTAAACGAAGATGCAAACTTGACTAATTTTTGCAGATACGTCGGTCTGCCTTGGTACGGCAGAGTTGTCGTGCATCCTGTCATGGGGTAGTTGTCATGTCGTTTGTCATCCTGTCATCATCATCATCATCATCATCATCATCATCATCATCATCATCATCATCATCCATCGTTGCTTTCTCTCCTTGGATCAGGATATAGGCCACGAACAAACACCTTCCACCTTTCCCTATCCTGGGCTAGCCACTTGATGTTATTCCAAGTCTTCCCACTTTTCTGTACGTCTATTTCAGTGACTCTTCTCCAGGTTCCACGTGGTCTTCCCCTTAATCTTTTACCCTGTGGATTCCTATCCAAGAATTTCTTTATTTATGCAGCTGTCTGACTTCCTGAGCGCATGTCCAATCAATCGCCAACACCGCCTTTGTCCTATCTCATCTCCGACTGGTGCCACACAGAAATATAGGACACTAGCTGGGCCCCCTTTCGATGAAAGGAATGATCGGTGTATTAGCTTCAACTGAAAGTCACTGGCCTACGATATTACACTCTACTGGAATGGAGCAACAAATCTTGAGAGAAAAGTGACACATGTCGTTGTGTTTTCCATTTGCCAAAATATATAAAAGATGTAAGATTGATTCTATGTCTCTTCCGCTTTTGCGGTTGTACACTCCAGAATTTCAAAGGTGTGGACCAGAGCGCACAGCTGGTGAACGGAAGCTTCGCTGGTTTACAATGGCGTCTTAGACGACGGACATTCCCAAGATTAGATCTAAACGAAAGTAATGGAAAAATGAAGATTAAACTACAGTGACTTCAGGCTCCTCAGTAAAACTGTGCACCCTTTAAATGATTCTGAACCACCATTAATTTTGTCAAATTGGAAAGTTAAGTGGTTGGGAAGTTTTAGGCGGCCAAAGTGACGAACTTTCACAAATAGAATAATAGAGAGATTTCCTGGACCTAAAATGCATCACATACCTCACATGTAGTAAATGTAGTGCTACTTTTTCTTTCCTCATCCTTCTTTTGTAAGTTTGTCACTCTCTTGCAAACAGCTGTTTCCGGGGTGCCTTGATAGTTGAAGCAGACTTTGTGCTGTTGAGGCAAGAGAGGTGAGCAGAGTTAGCCTGATTCCTCGTTTGGACTTCTCTGTTGACATCCACCCCTAGGCGCTCTTATGACCTTATGCAGTTACGAGCGTCTTAAAACCATACTAAAATAACAGCAAGAACAACTCAAGACTGCCTTGTAAAACTAGATAATTAACCCCCCCCAAAAAAAACAGAACTAAACCTTGCTAAAACGAACAAACACATTTTCTGGACCTCCAAATGTTTGACAATTTCCGAACAGGAGGAGAACCTGTACAGCGGAGAGCTGATCCCTGACGTCGTCCACTTCACCAGCAAACTGCACAAGATGCTGTCCGTGATCGAGAGCAAGACGGTGCCTGTGGGCCACGTGAAGCCTCTCATGGTGAGGACAGTTTTGTGTCTGATGCAGGCGGGAGTGCGAAAAGGGCAGTTGATTATTATCATATCCGTTTCTGGGTCTGGGGTGGAAGTGAGGGGGTGGAGGG